GCGTGTGTACGGCGAGGGAGCATTGATCTCCCTGCTAAGCTCCCTTGCACGCCTATTAGTGATGCCGGAGTGACGTCATATTCCGGCTCCAGCATCACTGCTGTGTGCGTGAGGGAGCAGAGCAGGGAGATCACTGCCCACTGCTCCATCGCCGCAAGCGGCCATTTTATTTTTAAAACTTTTGGCGGAACAACAATTGGGAAACGCTGATCTATTCAATCCTGACATTTCTCACTTGAGTGAATAACCCTGAATGAGTTCTATTTTGAAAAATGTCATCAGTATAGTCAGTCACTGTAAAACCAGCAGGTACATGCTGTTGGTGACTCTTGCCCTTTACCAGGATATCATTTCCACACTTACAATGTGTTAGATATAAATACCAACAGTTTATGTACCATAATGTATCAACAAAATTAGCACCAATACAAATGGGACTCTAGGTGCTTAAAGGAACACTTATGTCCATCAGAGTTATAAGGATTTTAAGTATTAAGACAAAATCTGCATCATTGTTTTGGCTTGCACTTATCTATGAAAATATGAGACTACTTGGAAACATTCAGTGAAGAATCTTCTACTGGATACATTACTATGCAAAATAATAAACCTAATACGGAAGCTAATAACAAAGTGCTGCTTTTAACAAATAAATACCTGTCCGGGTGATGTGGCATGCTAAGCTTTAAGTGCAAAGGCAAAAAATTATTTAGAAATGGTCACTGTCACAAAGGCACAGTACTCTAAGCATGCATGTAACTTGGATTTGGGGGTGAAATGGTTAAACAGGTCTGCATTAGACTGAAAATAATTTTGAGAAATCAGGTTTAAAACCACCCACAATTGACTCTTGTATCAAAAAGCTGCCACAACCAAGGCAATTTATAAAATGGGAAGCATTGGTTTCTCTCTAAGAATTGGTCTCTTCAGCTTTATGAATCCAGATACCAGAACCCAAAAACAGAATTGGTTCAATATTTCTAATAACAAAATAGTTACACAAGCCAAAAATTATACAATGCAAAAACAGGTGCAAGTCAGGTCTTTTAAAAAAAAAAAAAAAAAATGGGACTTAAAGAATCACTATAATAGGGTAAGGAACACAAACATGTATTCCTGACCCTATAGTGCTAAACTCACCATTCAGGTGGCTTGCCCCCCCCTTACCCCCTAAAAAAGGTTTAAAACTCACCTTATTTCCAGCGCTGTGCGGGTCCCCCGCCGCTGACTCTGCCCCCTTTGTGACATCAAAATGGCCGATTTTTAGCCAATCCAATGCTTTCCCATAGGGGAATTGGCTAAAATCAGCACGGGCGGTGCCAAATGCCGTTCTGGCCAATCAGGACCTCCTCATAGAGATGCATTGAATCAGTGCATCTCTATGAGGAAAATTCAGCATCTCCATGCAGAGCGTGGGAACGATGAACGGCAGAGCCAGGAAGCCCCTCCAGTGGCCATTTAAGGAGTGGCCACTTGGAGGTGTCCCTAGGGGCAATGTAAACATTGCCTTTTCTCTGAAAAGGCAGTGTTTACATGAAAATGCCTGAAGGGGGCAATTATACTCTACGAAAAACCTATATTAAAGCTGTAGTTGTTCTGGTGACTATAGTGTCCCTTTAAACAAAACACAGAAACTACACTTATGCAAATATCACTAATAATCTTACGATAGGCCAAGTGATCACTCATAATTTAAGCCCTGTCCAATTTTATTCAAAAGAAAAAAAAAAAAGGCTAGAGTTCAGTTTCATCTGGACAGGTATACAGTTATGAGTCGTCTTCTCTGGTCCCCCAAAACCCAGCCCCAATGACCACTTTATGGTACCTAGTTCATTTGGACTGCTGATGTGCAGTCAACTCTTTAACCCACAGCAATGGATTCTTATTATGATTGATCACAAATAATTTTATGT